TTTAATGAATTGCTAAACACACTCTTAAAAGTAATGAAAAAGTTTAAATGGATTAAAAAGACATATTGTACTATACCATTGTTGTAAGGTTCTTGGACCAGTATGCTCACTAGTAGAATAATTGATAGCATTCACAGATGGTTATAGAATTAATTTGAAAATTATACTCATTCAGAGATGGTTATAGAATTAATTTAAAAAATTCTCAAGAAATCGATCCTCCACTACATCATACAATAATAGGGGCATTCAAGCCTCCGCACAGCGCCAATAATGCTGCCCTTTTTTAATGGAAATTCTTTTCAATCATTTGTTTGTAAAGAATTTAGGCACGATAAGGATAAGACTTTGGAGAGAAATAAATTAAATTAAAATTTTTTTTTTAAAAAGAGCGGAAGGCATTAATTGCTTGATAATTAATGCCGGTAGATTAACCATGATGGAGGTAGTTAGGGTGTTAATTACTAGAGAGACTCACTTCTGGATGACTAGTTTCGTCGAATGAATTGCTTCATTCAATTAGTACTGGGGCTAATTAATTTTCTTGCTGAAAAAGTAATTAGACAGTGAGCTGCGTCATTGTCTTGGCATAAACTTAAGCAAGAAGACACTTTCAAAAGAGTAGGTGTCAAATTAATTCAATTAAACTAATAAAAATTTCCAAGATACTACTCTTTTCAAACAAAACCGGAGGAAAATGACATGTGAGCATCATTCCTGATGTAAGGCATTATATATTAGATATTACATAGATACCTGGACATCACTTTTGTCTTGAGTCCAATGGCAGACCGAAAATAGTCCAAAGAAGGAGATTATTAGCTCCAACACCTCTAATTCTTTAGTTATATGTAAACATAAAGCATTCTTTTCTTAGAGGAAGTTTAGTATTGCTAATTTTTTTAGATTATTTTTTGCTTTTTATTAAAGAAACAAACAGTAATAGTTTTTGGTTTAAATTTTTTTTTTTTGAATGTTTGTTGAAATTACTTTTGCTTTTAAGGGGTGCTTAATTTTTATAAGCAGTTTTTAAAAGTGATTTTTACATTTTGTAATTTCTGTATCATATATACTCATTATTTTTTGACGATTTTTTAATACCAATAAACATCAAGCTAATCTATGTACGTTAATTTGGTCATTTCCACTTATAACGACTTTTATCCACAGATTCACCAAACACGTTAACTGCTATTGGGAGCATCTTTGGACATATGATTACTAAACGTCTATTTTTAGCAGTTTATATAAGTTACTTCTATAAGTTACTTATATAAGCAATTTAATATAAGCTCCAGCAATCCCGAACTCACACCTAATCTGTTCCTCCCCTTTTGTTCTTTATTTTTTTTTTCCTGCCATAATATGGTGTGAGATTTAAATTTTCTTTTAAAATTAAAGAACAAAGGACTTTTTATTAGGCAAAGTATCTAGATTATGTGCTATAACTTGGGATGTTGTGCATGAACCCTTTACTTACGTTTTTGCTTCTTGTTGTAAGATTCCAGTAACAAGTGAACTTGCCTTGCCTTAATCTTAATATTTTAGTTAAGTATGATTAATAGAGAAGGTATAAGTAATGATTAAGGCCTTTCCACTGCTTTTGAAGGATTATTATGACTCGTGGCCTTTTGACTATTAACTTATTAAAGGCAACTTGCCCCTATAAAAATTTGATTCACTGTAGCAACTAATTTAGACTGCACGTGAAGGCTCGTGAGGGAAGATGTATGTTTCACGAAACGAAATTTTTTTTTTCCAGCATATGGTTAATTAACTTTTCAGTACAAATTAGTCAGCAATTGTGTTTCCTTAACAATTAAAATTCTATCTGGAAAAAAAAAACGTACATAAATAAAAATATTAAGGTTGCTAACGGGGCAACGGTGGAGCCGGGGGTTTGATTAATTAACAAAAAAAAAAAAACCATCACTACCGCGTACACACAGCTGTGACTAGTTTATATATTTAATATGGTTCATTTTCATACTGGTCCCTCGAATTTTTGGTATCTGTCACTCCCATAATATTGGAATAGTCCCCCAACTCTTCATATTTTACAAATTATCTCCCAAGTACGTGAAGCATTTTGAAATTAGTCTATTTGTTAGATTTAATATCTAAAGTTGCCAACCACAATTGGGTGGTTAATTAGGGATGGATAACTGTTGAATTACCAAATTAACCAAAATCAACATCAAAACCTACCAAAATCAAGTGCAAATACATAGACTTAAGTTTAATGGTAACATTTATAGTGTATTGTCAATTTGGCAGGTTTCAAAAGGATTGTAATTTATAGTTTGTGACTACGGAAAGATAAACTACGTTTTGACGCACTTTTGAAATAAAACTTTAGAAGAGTGAATCATGTTGATTCAACGATAAGTGCATATTTCAAAATAATTTAAATATTAATGAACTTTTTTTTGTAAAAACTATTATTTTAGATTCTTCTTTCACCTATTCATATATATGAAACTTTATTACACATTGTCATGTTTGATCAATTTTGATTGATACATGATGATTGTATTTTGGTCCCTAAAAAAAACCATGGCTCTCCTACGATTCCATGGTGTATTCCCATCATGTGCATCGGAGTACTAGTTTGCTATTGAAAGCAAGTTGTTGGCAACTACCGGAGAACAATGAAGATTGAGTAAGCTCTTTTCTAAAACAAGAGAACAAAATGCCACCAAATGTTTTATTACTATTTTCCCCAACTTTCAGATGAAATATCCATTCGTAAACGGATGCCCATCCAAACAAAGCTCTTAACCCATAAATTCGGAGACGGTTCAAGTTGCAGTTCTCCGTGACAGCCAGTATCAGGGCTTTCCCTATCCACAACTATAGGTCACTTTGTCCTATTCTTGTGACACTTTCATCGATCCGTTACGATTTGGGTCCGGTCCCTAGTCTACATGCGTGAAACTCATAAGCGCCTACTCACACACACACCAAAATAAAAAAATAAAAAATAAAAAGAGAGAGAAAAAAAAAAAAGAAAAGAAAAAAGGACCCATAGAATGACATTGGGGAAAACAATAATAAGATGAGCTGTAAATGGGGCCTGATATTGATATTTACTCATTAAATTCTCATGTCATTTTAGAGGCTTGACTCTAAGGTAGTGAGTTCTTTAATGGCCGAGAAAAATTGGGTTCCTATTGTTGAAGAGTCATTTTCATAGTGTGATGTATTGGGAACCGCCTGTCAATTATTTTGTTCTTTATGAGAGGCGTTTATATATTTGCTGGAAAAAGACTTCAAATACATTATGAGGATAGAATGAACTAGTTAAAAACTTATATTTACTCAAGAGAAATTAGGTGATATTAAGTGGAAGAGAATCATCTCTTATACATTTATGATGGTTTCTTCAATGGAATTGCACTAAAACGAAGATGGTGATTGTTCATCATTAAGCACATATTGTAATTGACGACTTTTTTAGCCTCTTTTTTTTTTCCCCGTTAAATTATAATGATTCTTGTAACTACAACATCCATGTACCAAACAAAATTTTCCTTACTTGAGAATGCCTTGTAGACTTGTAGTTATGCCTGTGGTCTCTGATTTGGGAAGAAGAGAAAAGGGAAAAAGGAAAAGGAAAAAAAAAAAAAAAAACATATATGATGTATGAGCTTCGATCCCAAGCACAAATCAAACACATTTGTTAATGCTGTAAAACAAGTCAATGATCTCAGAAGGCATGTGCCTGTGTAAGCATTAGTTTTTGGGTGTTTGTTTTATATTAGAACCCAAATTCTATTATATTTTTATGTTAAATCCTCAACATTTTCATATTTATAAAGTACACCCCAAAATTTCCAAATCTTTTTGAGACTAGGGTATATAAAAGGCTAAACTGCACTTATATGCCACAAAATTTTCCCATTTTGTCACTCACGTACCACAAGTTGTAGTTTATGCAGAAAAATATCATAAGTTGTTAAAAAATAGGCATGTTAGTGCAATCAATCACGCCAAAGTGAAAATTTTCACCTAAATATTCCAATAGGACGCTAGCATGCGAGTTTTATAACTTCTAATAATTAATACTTGTGAAATTTATCATTAGATATATCCCAACTCTATTTTTAAAGTAGAATTAAGATAAGGTTTGAAAAAGAATTTTGGTTGAATTAATATTAATAGTTATAATGCTCTAAGATTAGCATGCGAGTGTCATAGAGAAAGATTCATGTGAATTTTTTTCCCACCAATGTGACAATTTTTTAGATAACTTATGGTATTTTTTTTGCTATAAAATACAATTTGTTGTATATAAAGTAACATAGCGGAAAACTTTGTGGTATTTAAGTGTAAGTTAACCTATTTAAAAACTTAATAAATTTACTGTGAAAATCACTAAAAAAACGAAATGAACTTTAGGTGTAAGTTATGAATGCAAATATTTGAGGGTTTAGTATCAGAATGGGAAAATTTACATAATAGTCTGTTTTTGCTAATTATTTAGCAAAATATACCGTTTTGCTAAATAATTAGCAAAATAGACATTTTTTTAGCCAACAGGCCAAAAAGAGATCTATTTTGCAAAACAGCTCAGAAAACATATGGAACTAATAGTCCCGTATGTTTTAATCATGGATTAGTAAACTCAGAAAATTTCACAAAACATTAAGATGAACTCAGAAAACATACGGGACTACTAGTCTCGTATGTTTTCTGAGTCACTAATCTGTGATTAAGTTAGCTCTAAACATACGGGACTAGTAGTCCCGTATGTTTTCTGAGTCTTGTTTTTCAAAAGAGGTCCATTTTGCTAATTATTTAGCTAAACGGTCTATTTTGCTAAATAATTAGCAAAACCGACTATTTTGCAAATTCTCCCGTATCAGAATAGGTT